TCGTCGAGGTGGAGTACAGAAATCGATTTTAAGTGCCCTTTAATTCGAATTAACTGGCTCTGTAGTGTGGACGGGTGAAGGGTTAATTCGGATTAACGCAGCTAAATCCGAATTAAAGTCCTAGTGTAGACCAGGCCTGTGAGTCTTACTGTTTTGTGTGAATACTGTGTGTGCCTCAGTTTCCCTGCGTATTGCACCAATGCCTAGGTAGTGGGAATAAGGGTGTGTGACATTTGCTAAGACCCTGGAGGGCAGGTGAGGAGACTCTATCTGCCTGCACGTAAGAGATGGCCGATGCCCTTCATAACCTGAGACCCAGAATGGGGATGCGACCAGGTGACACTTTGCCCGGGAAGCGAAAGAAAGACCAGGAGGTGGGACAATTGGTGTGTCGGAGATCTGATTACTGGAAGCTGGGTAGTCTACTGTGGAGGAATCGGGGGGCATAGTCCAGGGCATCCATCCAGGGTTCCAACGATATGGATTTTGCTGAAACTTACTGAGTTCTGTGCTAACAAGTTCTGTTCTACGCTGCGTTCCTGTCAACTAATAAACCCTTCTATTTTACTATGCTGGCTGAGAGTCATGGCTAATTGTAAAGTTGGGGTGCAGGGCCCTCTGGTTTCCCCAGGTGTCCCATCCAGGTGGACCCATCAAGGGGAAGTGTAGGGTGTGAATGGGCATGCTGAATGCTCCGAGGTCAGACCTGGAAGATCTTAACCGAGGAGGTTTTCTCCCTGGATAGCCCACCCTGAGAGGAGCCACGCTACCCCAGAGTCCTGGCTGGCTTCATACAGAGCAGTCCCAGGGCATCGGGCCTGTGACTCCGCCACAGAATTACTATCCATAGAGATTCCATGGTACAGTTTGGATCATTTCAGATTTTTATTTCATTTGTTTCTATGCTTTCTTTCTCACATAGTGCCACTCACCCTCCAGCACGAGCTTTTCTGCCCTTCCAATGTATTTTGAACCCTGGTATTAATGTGTCCCATTGATTATCCTCATTCCACCACATTTCTGGTATGCCTGTTACATCAATATCCTCATTTAATACAAGGCACTCTAGTTAACCCATCTTATTATTTAGACTTCTAGACCCGAGAGAGATGTGGGAGACCCAGATCCAAAATCTCTGCTCTACCTGATTTGGAGCAGGAACTTAAACAGAGGTCTCCCACATCCCACGTGAGTGCCTTGAGCATCAGGCAAATGGCTATGTTGCATGGGTCTCTCAGGGCTGGTCCACACTACCCGCCTAATTCGGCGGGTAGAGATCGATCTTCTGGGATCGATTTATCGCGTCTCATCTGGACGCGATAGATCGATCCCAGAAGCGCTCCCCCGTCGACTGCGGAACTCCTGCTCACCGAGAGGAGGAAGCGCTGTCTACGGGGGAGCTTGCCTGCGCCGTGTGGACCCGAAGTAAGTACTTTTAGTTCGATATAGGAAACGTTGACTTCAGCTACGCTATTCTCGTAGCTGAAGTTGCGTTTCCTATATCGATCCCCCGCCCCAGTGTGGATATTATATCAGTCTCTCTGGCTGGAGCTGTTCCACTTTGTGCAAATAAACTTTTTTTTTAATTTTATATTTTATTTTTTGTTTCTTAAGTAACCTACTCTGATCTCTATGCCTGCTACTTATAATCACTTCAAATATATCTTCTGTAGTTAATAAATGTGTTTTATATTTTACCTAAAACATGTGTTTTGGTTGAAGTGCTTAGGAAATCTCAGCTCAGATTACACAGGTTAGTGTGTGTCCTCTCCATATTGAGGGAGAGGTGGACTGGGTAATGAACTGACACTGGCCAGGCTTTGGATCAGGGCAGGATGGTGCAGTTCTGGGGTGCAAGGCTGGGGATCTCGGGGGAAGTGGCTTGAGACTCTCTAGTGTTAGTTATGAGTGTCTGGGAGTTTATTCATGTAACTCAATTGTGTTTGTCCCTGTCTGTGTATGGCTGTGTAAGTGCCGTTCCTGCCAGAGGTTTTTAGCTTGTCTCAGCATCACAGTGTGAGAGGGATACCCCAGGTTGGTGGGACAGAGGTCCCAGAGTCCCGGTTGCACCCCAGGGACCCCATCACAGGAGTTCTGTCCTTGGGCTAGTCCCAGAAAATACAGGGACTCACAAAAGAACCCCTGGCTGAGCAGGGTGTTCAAAGCCCAAGGGGCTGGCTGGCGACGCTTGGATGAAACAGCCAAGTTCACAGAAGTCCACCTCTCACTTTTAAAGAACTCTTTCCTCCTTTCTTTGAACAAGGACCAGGCTCCCTGAGGTAAAACAGGTTTATATCTGCTCTTCCTGTCCTCCAATGGCTCTAGTGTCCCAGCTGCTTCCCTGCTAGAACCCGGGCAATGCCCCTTCCTTAGGTGGGTAGCAGCTGTAGCACCATCGTTTGACAAGAACATGGTGGGATGCTGTATGATTGAATATGACCATTTATATCATTGTTGCTACCACTGTTACACAATTGTGAGAAAATTTGTACAAAGTATGTCACTGTGACATTCTATACCTTGGGGGAGTGTCTTGAAACCCCCATATTGCTCATTTGTATATGATTGTGATCTTGCATATAAAGCATGACTTGTGAGGTATCAAGGTAAAGGTTATGATCTGCTGAAAGACATTTCTCTATCCATATATGTATATCATTAATGCATATGAAATTATGAGAATTATCATAGAATATCAGGGTTGGAAGGGACCTCAGGAGGTCATCTAGTCCAACCCCCTGTTCAAAGCAGGACCAATCCTCAACTAAATCATCCCAGCCAAGGCTTTCTCAAGCCTGACCATAAAAACATCTAAGGAAGAAGATTCCAACACCTCCCTAGGTAACCCATTTCAGTGCTTCACCACCCTCCTAGTGAAAAGGTTTTTCCTAATATCCAACCTAAACCTCGCCCACTGCAACTTGAGATCATTACAGGTATTAATATATACTCTGGGTTAATTAATAAGTAAAAAGTGATTTTATTATATACAGAAAGTAGGATTTAAGTGGTTTCAAGTAGTAACAGATAGAACAAATTGAATTACCAAATAAAATAAAATAAAACACGCAAGTCTATGTCTAATCAAACTGAATACAAATAAAATTCTCACCAGTTTCAGAATGCTTCCTTTTACAGACTAATCTCCTTCTAGTCTGGGTCCAGCAATCACTCACGCCCCTTGCAGTTACTGTCCTTTGTTCCAGTTTCTTTCAGGTATCTTTGGGGGTGGAGAGGCTTTTTCTTTAGCCAGCTGAAGACAAAATGGAGGGGTCTTAAATAGACTTTCTCTTGTGGGTGGAGATCTCCTCCTCTCTCCTATGCAAAGTCCAGCTCCAAGATGGAGTTTTGGAGTCACATGGGCAAGTCACATGTCCATGCATGACTCTGAGTTTTTACAGGCAGAAGTCATTGCCCACATGGTATCTTGAACCTCTCCAGGAAGACTTCTTATGTGGATTGGAACATTCCAAGATGCATTGTTCCTTAAGTGCTTCTTGATTGGGCACTTAACTTTGCAAATTCCTTTCTCCAGGAACTGATCAAATGCTCTACTCAGGTTATTTAGAAATCAAGCCAGTACAGAGCCAATATTCATAACTTCGAATACAAAAATGATACATGCATACAAATAGGATGAATAGATTCAGTAGATCATAACCTTTACATAGATATGTTACATGGCATATGTAGCATAAAACACATTCTAGTTATGTTATATATACACATACATAAGCATATTTCTATAAAGCCTTATGGGGGGCACCGACAGTCGCAATGACCTCCCGAGGTCTCTCCCACCGCTAATTTTCTATGATTCTGCAATTGTATAATGATGCCGCCTAGCTGCTTAGCTAAGGAGATTCTAGCTGTAGCGATCAAAATTGTCATGCAGAGTGTATGTTAGACTCAGCTTCAGTGTTCAGTTTCACCTTGAGAATAGGGTGCCCTGCAGTTCCAGATAAGGTGCCATGTACGTGTTTAAATAGCCAGATAATAGAAGATGCGTCATTTATCTCCTTTGCTGTGAGCTACCAAAGCCTCCCTGTCCTATGCCCAGCATCCCACCTTCCCAGCTAACACGAGGGCTTATCCTATCACCTCACTCAGCTATTGTCCCTCTAGCTTCAAAGCTGATCTCTTACCCTGCCCCCAAGACCTGGCTCAGGGAAAAGGACTCCCAACCCACACCCATTGCAGGGACACTGCCAGCTACAGGCCCCCAGCCAAGAGGAACAAAAGGGAACTGAAAGCTAAGGAAATAAGCCACATAATGGTCTCTTCCCTCAGGACTTTGTGGCTGACCTTTAGGGCTCACAAGTTGTATGATACACAATCTCACCCACCTGCCTTACAACCCTGCTACCAACCATCCACTGCTCTTATAGGGTTTCCTAGGTTCCCTCTCCACTCCCCATTGGTCTGTTGGCCCCAGCACTGTGTCCTCACTGTATGCACTACAGGCTCCTTGTCAGGCTGCAGCAGCTCCTGTCCCAACCCCAGAGCAGAGGGAGCCCAGCTGGGCGGGGGGGTTGGAGGGAGGTGGAGATAATCCAGAAAATGCTGGAGCTGGGGAGGTGAGGAGCCAGCAACAGGGGTGGCGCTTTGGGGGAAGAGGCAGAAGAGTTGTGGGGCCTGGAGGAAGAGGTGGATAAGAGAGTGGAGCCTTGGAGGAATAGGTGGGAGAGTGGGAGGGGACTTGTTGAAAAGCATGGGACTGAGGGCAGGGGGCAAGGCAGTGGGGAATAGGTGGAGCAGGGCACAGGGCCTCAGGTGTCCAGTTACCAGTAATTAGAAAGCTGGAAACCGTATGAGTTAATGAGCTGTACCCAGACTGATTCCTCCATTTGTCAGGCAGACACAGCACAGTGAGGCCAGGAAAGGATTTCATGTCCCTTTGACTGTGCAGTCAGTGTTTCAGGGAAGAGGGCCCAGCACTATGTCACAAGCCAGTTCTGAACGGAAACTCAATCTCAGAGCCAGAGCACCAGGAGAAAACTTTAGGCCCCTTTATGAGTAAAGAGCCGGAGCAGTGTGACCCAGATCTGTTTGGTCATCATCCCATAGACGATGGGGTTTAGCATGGGGGGAATAAAGAGGTACATGTTGGGAAAGAGAACTTGGAAATGCAGGGGCACATTTTGGGCAAATCTGTACATGAGGGAGAAGAAGAGACCTGGGATATAAAAGGCTAAAATGACACAGAGGTGGGAGCTGCAGGTCCCAAAAGTCTTGAGGCGGGCATCCTTTGTGGGGAGGCTGAAGATGACCCTGAGGATCTGGATGTAGGTCATGGCAATAAAAATCGCATCCAGACCCAACACACCGAAAAGCACAAAGAGGCCGTAGTAACTATTGACACGGGTGTCGGCGCAGGCCAGCTTAACCACAGCTATATGCGCACAGTACGACTGGGGGATGATGTTGGTTCTGCAATATGGCCATTGCCTCGCCAGGAAGGGATAGGGCAGTACGATCATGCTGCCACGCAGCACTACGGCCAGGATTACCTTGGCCACCACAGGATTTGTCAGGATGGTGGAATGTCTCAGGGGGTCACAGATGGCTACGTAGCGATCCAAAGCCATGGCCACAAAGATCCCAGACTCTATCACTGAGACGCAATGAACGAAGTACATCTGGGTGAGGCAGGCACTGAAACTGATCTCCCTGGAATTGAACCATAAGATGCTCAGCATTTTGGGCAGGATGGACATGCACAGGACAAGGTCAGTGACAGCCAGCATGCAGAGGAAATAGTACATGGGCACATGGAGGCTCGGCTCCCTCTTCAAGATGAACAGGATGGCGATGTTTCTCAAGACGGCTATTGCGTACATGGTGCAGAAGGGGATGGAGATACAGATATGGGTTGTCTGCAGCCCAGGAATACCCAGCAGGATGAAGGTGGAGGGGTTGGTGAAGTCAGTTTTGTTGGAATCTGACATGCAGTTGGGGAGAAAGTGTCCAACTCTGAGGCTGAAAGGTGTCTCCTGCATGTACTGTACGTTCTACTGGCTTCCTGTACGTGCCCAGGCTTTAGGGTGATGGTCGCAGTACAAATGCCTGGACGGAGAGACAATGTGAACATGAGACACTACATGCACTACTGGAGGCTGTTCTCATGGGTGTAGCAGATTGGTTGCTCTTCACACACTGAAAAATGAAATTTTCATTATTCAGATAAAATATTTATGAACACATGACCCAACTAATGAGAATTCCACATTTTATGGTGTTCTCTGCCTCAATAATTCCTACACATCTGTTCCTTAGGCCTTCTCTACACTGCCAAGTTTTTTTGTGAAAAAGCAGCTTTTGGTGAAGAGACAGTGGTGGTGTCCACACTGCAAATCCACTTTCTATGACAGAACTCCTCGATTTCAGTGACATAATAAAACCACCTTGACAAGACTTGTAAGGTTTATTACGCAAACGTTTCTCACCGACGTGCCAGTGTAGGCACTTGCGCTTTGATTTTATCGCTGTAATTGGCCTCCTGAAAGCGTCCCACAATGCCCATCCTGACCGCTGTTGTCAGTAGTTTCAACTCCTCTGCCCTTCACCAAGGTAAACACCTTCTGCCCCTCCCCCTTTAAAGGCCCGGAAATTTTGAAATTCCCCTTCCTGTTTGGCATGGAGAGCTCACACTGCCTGTTTTCAGGTGACCATTGTGGATCCACACAGCAAATGTTCTCCCTCTGGACCACTGCGGAGGTGCTGGATCTGCTCAGTATTTGGGGAGAGGAGGCTGTGCAGTCCCAGCTGTACTCCAGCTGAAGGAATTTCTACACCTAAGGGCAGATTTCATGCAGCTTGTTGGAAAAGAGCTATGATTAGGACACACTGCAGTGCACAGGAAAGTGAAGGAGCTGAGTGCCACATACCAGAAGTAACATGTATCAGAAGTGCCATGAACCTGACGGCAAGGGAGGCAAATAGTCAGTTCAGTGCTGCTCCCCAGACCTGCCATTTTTATAAGGAGTTGGACGCTATCCTCGTCTGTGACATCACCTCCATGGCCATGAGCCCCGTGGATATTTTGTTAGGTTTGCAGACGATGCAAACTGGACTTAACCCACAGGAGAAAGTCATTGGTGAAGAGGTGGAGGCATTAGAAGATGTGGAGCCCATGCCAGGGTTGCCCAGAGCTGTGCCCAGTCAGAAGCTGTTCTCGACTCTGGAGGTGTCCAGCCAGTCTCAGCAGTTACAATCCAGAAGCAGGAAAATAGACCCCTGGTAAGTGGTTTTGCTTTGTGAAGTTTGGAGGTTGGTTGAGGGCAGAAAAATATACAAGGCTGGCTGTGTTTCTGTGTGCTGGGCATTTCCCCGTGCAGCTAGGCAGTGCAGGGGGCAGGCTGTTGATGGACACCAAGATTTCACAGGATTCCTCCAGGGAAATTTCTAGGAAACTTTCCTACAGGTACTCCACAATCCTGTGCTGGACGTTCCTTGGCAGAACTGCTTTCTTCCTTCTGGAATTGAGTGACACTTTCCCGCCCCATTCTGCAATTACTTGGGCAAGAACAGGTGAGCAGCATAGGGACCAGGGTGGAAGCTATAAGCATGTACTGGATTAAATTAATGGAGATATCCCATCTCCTAGAACTGGAAGGGACCTTGAAAGGTCACTGAGTCCAGCCCCCTGCCTTCACTAGCAGGACCAAGTACTGATTTTGCCACAGATCCCTAAGTGGCCCCCTCAAGGATTGAACTCACCATCCTGGATTTAGCAGGCTAATGCTTAAACCACTGAGCTATCCCTCCCCCCAAGATCAAACATTGCTTCATTGCTTCCCCTCAGGAGAGAGATATCTGCCACAATGACCCCTCCTGTGGGAATGGGTGGGAAACTTTATAGTGTTGTCCCATGAGAAGTGCTTCGCGACCCCTCTCACATTGCTTTTCTCCCACGCACAATGTCCCCCGGTGCTGGGTACTCTCACCATGCTTGCAGTTTTTCCGGTATGTGTGCTTATCAAGGGTCAGCCAGAAAGTGATTGGTGTGTTACCGGCGGTGGATTTTAATGTAGCGGTTCAATGCTGTACGTGTACTTAACAATAATGCTTCTGTTTATTGTTAATTGTGGTTCACCAGATATGTCCTTGAAAGGAGACACCCCCGCCGCTCAAGCTGAGCATCTCCGCTGGATAAGGAAGCTCCCAACAGGCAGCAAGGAAGATATGATCTGGGAGGTGCTGCCGTACTCTGATATAGACACGAGGGAACGCAGGCTGTGGAGGGAAAGCGACAAGTAGGAAAGAAGAGAAAAAGAGGCATAAACTAGGGATGCAACACAGAGACTGATACAAGTTTTGGAGCAGCAAACCAACATACTGCTGTCCCTCGTAACCCTCCGCACTGAGAATATGCATGTCTGCCTGCCCCTTCAGAACATTCAGAGCTCTTTCCCATGCCCTCCCCAAACTCCACCCGCACATTTATTTCCGACTACTCGGACTTCAAGCTTTCCCCTAACTCTTTGAGAATTGGAAAGTAGAAGGCAGCTTGGGTGAAAGTGATCATGAAATCATAGAGT